CCGTCACGCCACCGGGGCCGCTCTCTCTCAAGGACAGTTGGCACGATAATTTGGTACTCGGTCTGAAATGCTAGCAGGGTGCTATATAGTGGGAAAATGGCGAAAAACGAAGTGAAACGGTCAAAAACCTGCGAAGAAAAGCCTTCGTTCTTAATGACTCAAAAAGCAATTTCGGACGAGTTTCCCGTAGGCATCTTGCCAATAGCCCGTACGGTGGATATGGCTACAATGTACCCATATATCCATGCAGCACCGCAGCCGCTTCATATAATCCCTTCGCTTCATATTTTACTTCGCAAATGAAGCAATACGAGCATCAGGTACGGTCGTCCATTTGTGGGCGGGCGGGCGCGGTGGGCGTCCAGGTCGGTATGTTGCAGCTTGATACAGGCCTACAACTTCCTTGGAAAAAGCGCTACGCAGCGCCCACTCAGAGGCGCGGGATTCCGTCCTGTTGGGCGTATGAATCCTACTCGTCTTAGGGATTTATCGTGCCAACTGCTTTTAAGTAAAGAATAGCGCACTTGCCCGAAAAGCATGAGGTGCAGGTTTGAGTCCCGTTTGGGGTCTAGAATTTAGCCAACCAACATCCAAACTCCACTCTGCCCTGTGATAACATTTCTTCATACATTTCGAACTTTAAAATCTTAACTCTCACATTGCGCTGGAGAAGTATTGTAAGAGAAGTATAGAGAAGTAATATAGCGACGTCATAATTGACCACTGTTGGAAATCAAAAGAGGTTGGACCACACATATGGCTCCGACTACGCACCATGGCATTCGCAGTGGTCATTCTGGATTACACTACACTGCGAAGCATAATCATAGATCCACCCATGAATCTCACAAACGGAGCGCAGTTTCAGACGTTCCATTCATGCGATGGCAGCCCAGACCATGAGACCACATCCACTGAAGTTCCGCCCGAAAAATGAAACTTGTCTTCCCTCAGGTCGTGCCAGCGGAATCGGTTTTCGTCGGAGCCGTCGCAGTTGAATTTTTTCTCATCAGAAAACACGACCGCGAGAAAAAAAACTGAAAAAACACTACAGACAAGCAGTAGGGCACCGCAGCCAAAAGCCAACCTCACTCATTGGGTTCGGCAACATCTTCGAGCAAAGCCAATTAGGTTTTCGCGATGGTTTTTTGTTAGGAAACAGTGCATATGTAACTCATATTCCTCCTGTGGGTGAACTCAGGAGTTTTTCAAGAGACGCCTAACAGTATCCTCCGAGACATTAACCTCCGAAGATGACTTAATTTCCCGACACGACACTGCAGAGTTGGATGCTTTCCAAGGATACGGCGGTTATTCCGATCGGGCAGCAAAGGAGGATGTCCAGAGCTCTTCTCAGCTCAATATCCTGTAGGTCCCTTGGAAAAAATTGTTGATAGCATGATGAGTGCAGCCCGCCCGCGCCATTCGACGATTCACCAGTTTTTGAGTCTTCTTTGCGATAATCTGTCCTTTTTCGAGGTCCATTAATGAAGTTCCACTTGCCATAGCCTAGAAGAGGCAAGAAGTCATAATGATGAGAAGTTTCACCGAACAAAAATGAGATGCAGCCGGAAAATATGGGGTGGAACTATACTTTTTGCTTCGTTGTCCGTCAGTAATTCATCACATCTTTTCACAGGGTTCAATGTGGAAACTGTTGAATACCGTAACGTCTCGTTCACGGTTTGGGACGTAGGTGGACAAACAACAATTCGGCCCTTATGGAGATATTATTTTCGCGATACTCAGGTTAGTCATTATACATTGAAACATACTCTCCATGTTTTGTAACTCTTCTCTATCAGGATGATTTTTTCCCGATGGAAAATTGTTTGCTTTTGGCTGATGCTCAGTCTTAATCTTAAACTTACAGTTTTCTCCACCAGCATTTTTATCGGATCCCTTTGTCCAATGAATAGAGGTTTTGATTACGAATCATCGCTGCAAAAGGTTCAATAGTAACGAAGACAGACGCATTCTGCAGATAGGTAAAAAACATTCGACGATGGTGGGCCCAGGTGGCTCCTAAGTCCACTGAGTGGATGGAACTTTACGACGAAGTACTCTCAGGTCTTGGAGCCCATTTTCGGAATGGTTTGTTGCATGTTGAAGTGGTTTATATGGGGACTACAAAAGTGCAAGAATAGAAAGCTCTTCTATTTTTCTGGACGGAAAGATGTGTGTGTTTTTGGGCACATTTCTATTCGCACAAAGGGTTCCAACTTATCACGGGCACAAAAAAAGGGAGAGCAGCAATTTTCGTCACCTGCGTGGTTCATAACAGTCTACTGTATACATACCGGCCTTCTAAGAAGCGCGCAAGGAGAATGAACCACACTTTTGTGGCGCCTACATGAATTTCCACAACATACAACGAGCCGTTTTGAATATGAGTTGCACGACCTAAAAACGTCCTTTGTTAGAAAAAGATCAAGCTTTGGAGATGGATAGGAAACAGACTCTGTTTCGTGTGTGTCCGCTATAGAGATGTTTAATTCCCTGTCGTTGGCTGAAAGAGTACTGCTCGTACTGTTAGACTGGAGATGTGCTATGACTGTTATCCTTCGAGTGACTACCGAAAACACTTCAGGGACTAATCTACGTGGTCGATAGCGCTGACAGAGAGCGTACAGAAGAAGCT